CAGTGTCACTGGCCCTCATATGTGGGATCCGAACCGGGGCCCTCTGGCATCCCAAGCCAGTTCTTAACCATCGCGCCACTCGGCCGGCCCTGTATACATTTTTTTGAATATGCATAAATTCCCTCTGGAAAAACATCAGCAACAGTGACATTGGTTCCTTCCAGGGAGAGGTCCATGGTGGTTGAAGGACATGAGTGAAAAAGAGACATTTCACCATTTACGCTTTGATACTTTTTGGATTTTGAACCAGGTGAATAAATTACTTACCCCAAAAGAGGAAATAGATAAAATTAAAACTAAAAATGTAGAAGAAAACTTCACTTACTGTGATTTACACAAATGGGGGTTTGTTTTTCTTTCATAAAAAGAAGCCCAACGTAGGTGCTCGCTGACTGTTGGTTCAGCTGCTCAATGATGCCTCATGAATCAGGTTTTTTTTGTTTGTTTTTTTTGTTTCTAGGACCTTCATCCTCAGAGGAGTGGCTTTCTATCTCCATGGATGTTTCCTTGTGATAGTAAGATGGCTGCCACAGCTTAGGCTTCATGTCTTCAAACAAACATCCCCCAAACAAGAAAGAAAGCACAAGGAAAACCAAAAACTTTTTTCTAATGATGCTTTTTGTCCTGGGAACAAGACTTCCCTGTACATGTCACTGGCCAGAAATGGATCCTGGGCCCATCCTAAATCAATTCCTGGCAGAGGGGAATGGGTTCACTGGCTTCTGGGACTGGAGGAAGGGCCCCCTCTCCTGATGTCATGGAATCTTTGCCTTAGTACAGAAATGGAGTTCTGTTCCTAGGAAAGGTACAGAAGTCTGTTGGGTAGGTAGCAGAAAAAGTCCATCACAGCTGTCAGTGTGAGCTGCTCCATCTTTTGAAAAAAGAAATTCTTAGTGACCCCAGGACTAAATGCCTCCATATGTCCCACTGCTGCCACTCTATACACAGTTACGTCCATCTCTCTCCTGGACTGCTGCCTTAGCCTTCTCACTGGCCTCCCCACACCCATGCTGACATTGGTTGGATTTAGTACTGGCTTTCTCCTCCAAGTAGTATAGGAGTGGGGTTCTCAAAAATAACATATGAGAGACCACCTTGATTCAGACTTAATTATCCCATGATTAACTACTACAATATCTAGTTCCATCTTTCGAAGACAACAGTCAAGAGACTGTCTTCATTGAGTTTTCTATCAGCTTTCATTCTAGACGAGAACTCTCAACATAAAGTATGCTCTGTTAATGTGTCTTGGAGTCTGTATTAACTCAGCACTGGCAAAATAGGCATGGGTGGTGTTACCGGCTGAGTTGTGTCTTCCACAGTTCATATGTTGAAATCCTAACTCCCAGCACCTAGAATGTGACTATATTTGGTCTTTAAAGAGATAATTAAATTAAAGTGAGGCCATTTGGGTGGGCCCAAATCTAGTATGACTGGTTTTCTTATAAGAAGAGATTAGGACACAGACACACACAGAGGGAAGACCTCATGAAGACACAGGGAGAAAACAGCCATCAGCAAGCCAAGAGAGACCTCAGAAGAAACCAAGTTTGCCAACACCTTGATCTTGGACTTCTAGCCTCCAAAACTGTGAGGAAATAATTTTTTGTTTTTTAAGCCTCCCAATCTGCAGTACTTTGTTATGGCAACGCTAACAAATTAATATAGGCAGATATAATCCTAAATTTGAATGGTGTTACATAGAACACCTTATGCCTTAGCATCACTTCTTTAAAAATGTTTTCCTTTTATTTTGTTGCAAATGTATAAAATGTGTTTTTTGTCTTAACACATTGGAACAATTATTAAGGCTTCATGTTGTCTGGCTCTAGCATACTGCAAGAGCAAGATTTAACTATCCAAAGATACAGCTCACCATTCTTTACTTCTCAGCAAAGGAAGTTGGATCTAACACTTTGATGGTCAACCTTAAATAACCCCTCACTTGGATCAGACAACTCCTGGAGTATGTGCTTTATAGCCACACCATCTTGATGAGCCCCAGCAACTGAGTGCTTAACATTAGACCCAGATGGTGGCCTTTTATGGAAGGAGCAGTCAGCTGGCAGCCGCTCCCCTCACAATCCTTCAAGCTAAGATTGTCTCTCTACCGGGCAGCATGGTAGATAATGGCCCAAACATTTACTAATAAGAGAGCTTGAGAAGATTCAAAGTTCTTTTGAGGGAAAAATAAAATAAAATAAGGTGAAATAAACAAAGTAAAAATCATGAGTACTCCGAGTGAAAGACCAGCCTAGAACTCTGTACCAATAGGAGGTGAACTTGGCCTCTCACATTTTATGTCTCAAGTACATATCCTTCTTTGCAATCAGCCTTGCAGAACACTTTTTCACTCTGCCTTGTGGCTGTGAGACTTAATGGCTGTGGAACATGCAGGAGGTCTGACTCTGAGAAAACCAGCCCATTTTACCCATGCAAAGAAATTCTGGAAGGGTGTGGTATGTGAAGTTTTTACCCAAGAGGCCTCTAAAACTAGACTAACTGGGTGCAAACCCCAGCTTTGCCATTTGCAGCTGAATTGGGCAAGCGACTTACCCTCGCTGTGCCTCAGTTTCCTTAGTTGTTAAATAGGACTAGTAATAGTATTTAGCTCATGGGGGTGTTGTGAGCATTACATAAATTATTATTGTAAAGCATTTAAACACTGCCTGGCATGTGGTCAGTGATCGCTGGCAAATATTGTTATTACCTGAATTACATAGACCAGTCCCTCATAGAAATACCTTTGTGGGATTATGTTTTAAGGTTTGGTGTTTGCCTTTGACATTGCCCCAATGGAACAGTGTTCCCAAGAAAATAAATTACATAGTTCTCAATTTCCACTTTATTTGTATATGGTTACGATTTATAAATACACTTGCCATTTCCCCCACCTCTGAAACTCTCCTTTATACCTAGTAACTACCCAAACCCCCAGTTTTTAATGACTCCCTTTCCTCTCTAGGAGGGGAGGGCAGGGGTGGTCTTCCATGTAACTCTATCTTCATATAGAGTCTCCCTCAGTCCACGTGAAGTGTTGGTCCTCAGAGGGTCCCTGAAGCTTTGGGATGAGCACCACGAATCCGTTAGAGGTCCCAGTGATGTGCCCATGTGGCTGGTTCCTTTCTGTGCCATGCTTTGGGTGTAGAGTGCAATGGTGGGCAGCAACAGACATCGTATGTTCTGTCTGTGCCTGAAGCTGAGTTGGTGCAGCCCCAGCGGGCAAAGGGGTCTGCAATGAAGTCTCAGGCCTGCTCAGGCAGTGGTGAGAGTCCTGCGGTGGGCACTGTACCCAGCCAGTGCCTGGCCCTGCTCTCGGAGACGTGTCTGAGGCCTGGCTGCTCAGAGCCTCTCCGGGCCCTACCCAGGCCCTCTGTCAATCCTGTGTGGGTAGGGCAGCCTCGGGGAGAAGGTGCGCTTGTGCCTCCTTTCTGATTTTCCCAGACTCCATTAGGCTTGGGTGACAAATTGGGTCCTTGGCCCTGTTAGAGGGCATGGCAGCCCAGTGTCTCTGTCTCAGCCAGGTGCCAAGCTTTGCCATCTTCCTGGTAGGGTGTAGAGAGCCCAGGAGGACCAGGGGCACCCTCTTCAGGAATGGGGTACGGAGGCTCTGGGGGCACTGGGGGGTCTCCAGGGCCCCGTGCTCCCCCCAGTACTGGCCCATTGTAGATATAGATGTTGCCAGTGACAGTCACAGACCCGCCGGTGACATGAATGCCATTGGTACCTGTGGGAAGGGAGGCAGAGTGAGAGGGGCTGAGGGGGCATTGTTGAGGAAGGAAGGCCTGTGTACCCCCTGTATTGGACTCCTTGTTTCCCAAATGCCCTTGTTCTTCTGCCTTCTCCCCTTTCCTCTCTGTTCCCACTTCCACTTGCTATTGGTTTCTTGAGCTCTGCATTCATTTCTCTGTTTCTGGGTTTTTCAGTCTCTTCCCTTCTCTTTAGCTGGCTGTCGGAGTCTCTGTCTTGCCTCCATTTTCGTCTTCTCATCTCTGTCTGGCTTACACTCTCTCGCCCTGCTAACCATCCCTCCCACTCCACCTCTCCCACCTCCTCTTCTCCCTGCAGCCTGCTCACCATGGGCCACCTGGCCTTGCTCTGGGAGCTCAGCCTCCAGCTCCCTGGCCTGGCTCAGAGGACTCTGCTGTTGTAGCATCTCTTCCTCCAAAACTGAGGTCGTTGGGGGCCAGGCTGAGGCAGCGGTCAGGTCTCCAGGGATGGGCAGAAGTGGCTTTACCAGGTCAGGAAAATGTGGGTTGATGCTTGGAGGCTCCCAGCTTCCATCAGCAGTATTTGATTCCTCTCTCTGCAGGAGGGAGGCAGAGAACCAACCAATGATGTGGGCCACTGACCCCATCTTTCTTTAATTCCCACACCGCACTCCAGCTTAGGCAGCTCGTTGCCCTCCTCTGCTCCTTCTCATGCTCCTTGCCTCAGGCCTTTGCAGTTGATGCCCTTGCTTCTTGGAGCACTTTCCCCAGGTATCCCGAGGCCTGGCTCCCTCATTTCTTCAGCTTTCTGCTCAAATATTGGCTTATCAGAAAGGCCGTCTCTGTCCACTGTCTATGATAATATATCCCCACCTTCTGCCACTGTCACCCCCTGCCCCCTACCCTGCTTCACTCCGTAGTTACCACCACCTAATACATCTTTGTTTAACTTTATTGCTCCACTGGCATGTACATCCAGGAAGGTAGTTACTTTGTTTTACTTGCTGCTATATCCTCGTGCCTAGAACAGTGCCTGGCACATGGTGTGCTCAAAAATTATTCGTTGAATGAATGAATGTTGAAGCCTGCACACTCTTTTCCTGCTGACCCCCACCTTGTTCGTTCTCCCTCTCTGCCCCTCCTTGCTGCCTTCTCAGCCTTCCCCATTACCTCTGGACGCCTCTTGAGCAGGGATCCTGCAATGAAAATGAAATGGGTGTCAGCCTCTGGCAGGCCTTCACCCTCCACATCCCACCACAATGTGTTGCTGCCCACCCTGGGGTCCCAGAAGGAATAGGCTGTTATTATGCTTATCTCCAGCCTCGGTCAGGGACTGGATGGAGATCATGTCTGTGTTGGAGGTAGGCATTGGGAGTCTTGAGTGTGAAGGGGCAGGTGGGTTGGCCCTGGGGAAGTTGAAGATTCATTCCCTCCAACCCCCTTCCCCACCCAGGTGGAGACAGAAGGCCGGCCTGCATCCCCGCCTGCATCTGGCCGCTTCTTACCCAGCTTTCTGCAGAGAGAGGGGTGGCTCTTCCAAGTGCAGGCGAGGACGGTGATGAGGAGCAGCAGGGAGACCAGTGGCAACATGATGGCCAGCACCAGCATAGTTCCTGCCAAGGCAGCAGACAGGAGGGGTTATGAGGACTCGAGAGGAGCAGAGGGGAAGGAAGTTAAGGAACAGCTTCCCAGTTCTCTGGGCAACCCAGACAGAGAAAAGGGGGAGCAGCTTTTCCCTTCTAGCCCTACAGTTCCTAAAGGCAGAATTAGAGACAGTTCCCTGGGTTATGGAGAAGGGGAGCTCAGTTGGACTTAGGGGGACCTCCTGACAGCCAGGAGAAATTCTATTGTGGGTGGAGATGTTTGGAGTGGCACAGGTGCCCAACTGTGTGAGAACAGGAGCATGAGCAGTTGGTTTTTAAGAGCTGGAAGTGCGGGTGGGAGGCAGTACTAAAAGGGTGGGGCTTGGGGTTCTAAGCAGACTCAGGCCACAGGGTACAACCATGTTTCTGTGGACTTGGCCATCTTACAGGGTCCACTGTAGGAACTGAGAGCACCTCTCTTTACCTGTGGGGATGTTTTCAAAGAGGGGTAGGGAGCCTCGCTTCTGAACTCTGCCTGTTGCTGCCTGGAAGAGGAGGGGTTGCAAGGTGCCCACCCCCTTGCAGGTTCCAGGAGGGAATGGGAATAGGAGGCTGGGTTTCTCAGGACCAGATGTGTAGCAGATAATTTCTGTCTTGCATGGGCCTCAGTGCTGCCATTCATAGCAGGGAGTCTACAGTGCCCATCAACTAGAATGGGAGGCATGGGGAGAAATTGGACCTGGAGTCTTGAACGCCTGGGTTTCTGCTCAGCTGTGTGACTTTTTAAGTCATTTCCCCTCTTTGAGCATCAGTTTCTCCATATGTAAAATGATGGCGTTAGACTCTAAAATTCCAGCACTAAAATTTCAATTATATTTGGTATGTTAGTTAAAAATTAGTAAGAGGACATGGAAAAATATTTATGATGTAGTTGAATGAAAAAATCAGGTTACAAAATATTCAAATGACTCCACACTTTTAAAAAAAAGTTATATGTATAAACATACATAGGAAAATGTCTGGGAGGATATATTAAGAAATGTTAAGAGTGGATATGCTAGATGATAGTTCTGTGGGTGATGTTTCATTCTATGTATCTGAATTTTCTGATTTTCTACAGTGTGCATGCATATGGCATGAGCTTTGGAGTAAAAAGACCTGAGTACAGGTCTTTGTAACACCAGTTACCACGTGGGTGATCTTCATGTAACCTCTCTGAGCCTCAGTTTCCTCATCCCGTCAATGAGGATATTAATAGAACTACTTCATTGGATCAATAAGCGGATTAAATAAATTAGTGAATGTCAAGTGTTTGCAGAGTACCTGACACACTAGCTCTCAATAAATGGAAGTTAAGTTTATAAATAATTGCTAATTTTAAAAAGTTAATAAAATAAACGCTCCCCCAATTAATAATGATTGCAATCATTAGAAACATTCCATAATTGTCATTAGGCTAGGAAACCAATAACTCCACAGAAAAAAACCAAAAAGGAGTCAAATGTGGCGTTATCTCTCTAACAACAAAAGTGTATAATCTCATAAAGAGGCTGTTAGTCTGGTAAATGGATCATATGACAGTGGCATGTCTAAAATGATGACAATGATGTCAGTTACAGTTACATCTCAGTGTGGGAGTGTTCCTTGATGTAACATTATATATGTTATATGTATAATATGTAACTGAAAAGTGTGTGTGCGTGTGTGTAAGTAAACTAGTCTGGGGACACTCCAGTTTCTGTTTAAGGAACTTTTCTTCTTGCCCCCACTCTGAGAGGGAAGGTTTCATCTTTTGCCCATTTTTTCAGATGGGAGGAATTAAGGCATTTCCCAGACCTGCCGCCCCCCAACCCCATGCCCCTCAGCCCTGGCCCCTCACCTGCCATCTCAGGGGGCTCTGGTGGACTTCTGCAGGTGGTGTCGGACTCGGTGGTGCCTGGCTTTGCCTCTACCAGGCCCTGGTCCTCACACCTGTGGAGAAAAGGGAGGCTCAATTCAAGAGGGCACATGCTGGAGATGGCAGATGGCAAGGAGGGTCTTAGAGTTCAGCATGGGGACGGGGTTGTCAGCAGCTGGGGCTTCTGGGAGGGTGGGAGGGACAGAGACACACTTACCTGGTATGGGGCTGGCATCGGGCACTGGGGGAGGAAGTGTTTTGAAAGTGTCCTGCCTTGCAGGGCACACAGTTGCTATTAACCTTCCCAACTTCACCTGACAAGAGAGAAGCAAGGCCAGTCAGGGTGAGCGGGCAAAGGGAGCCTCTTGCCCAGTTCTGAGCTTCCGTTAAGCCCACTGGACGGCCCCTCCCTGCCCACCCACCCCATTCTGTAGCTCACACCTTTCCTGATCTCCCCCCTGCCCAGTGCTGCGGGGACGGCCCCCCTGCCCCCACTGCCCCTGTTCCTGTCCCAGTTCCATATCTCTGCACATTCCTTCCATGAGCCTTTCACAGGGAGGGAGAAGAGGCTTTTTATGCCAAAGAGAACTACCTGGAGGCTCACCATGCACACAGAACAATGCTCCCTGCCCCCACTTAAAACCACCAGCGCCCAGCCTCCTCCCTACCTTCTGCCCTTAGTGACCTCTGACCTTTGAGCTCAGCTTCAGTGCCTGGTGGGCAGTCAGAGAGTGGCTCGCAGTGTAGACACTCATGGTCCCTAAGGGTGCAGAACATTCCTGGCTGGCAGCGGCACTGGGTTTTCTGTTTGCTAGTGCAAGGTGCAGTCTCCTCGAAGCCCAGTACTTGTGGGGAGACAGGAGAGTTCAGTGGAGGAGCTGCGCTCCAGGGGATCCCAGCCCTCCCCAGGCACACCCCACTCACTGTGGTCACAGGGTCGGCAGAGCTGGCAATGTGTGAGATGGTTCCAGTGCTCATTGTAGGAATTTTCAGAGCACGTGGCACAAACTGTGTCCTGGCTGAGGCTGCATTCAGCTGAGACACGCGTGCCTGGAATGTGAGTGGGCAGTAGGAGTGTCAGGGGATGGGGGCTCCACCCTCACCTCTGTTATTTGCTGTGACCCTGGGCCTGGTCCTCTTGGGGCCTGCACATGAGGGATGGCCAGTGTTTCTCATTCTCTGTCTCTGCCAGCTGGTTTTCCTGGAAGAAGGTGTCTGCCGTCCCTCGGAGGCAGCGAGGTGGACTGGAGTTCCCTGGAACCTACCTCCCTATCCCAGGATTCCTCTGGCCATTGCCTCTCACCTGGGGGGCAGCGGGAGCAGCAGGCCTGATGCTTGGGTTCGTAGTACTCCTTTTCCTGGTCCCGGCACGTTTGGTTATCCGTGTGGTATGGGGGAACCTTCGAGGAGAGATGGGGGTAGGGAGAGAACTTTTCAGGGGTTAGCTGGGGAAACAGAGGAACCACAGAGGGAGCTGCCCAGAGCCCTTTTCCCTACCTGCCCGCCCCCACCCACCTACACAAAACCTTCCCTCACCAGTTGGGGCTGGAATGCTGCCAGGAGACTGCAGAGGCCTAGTATGAGTGGCCCCCAGGCCAGGCTGAAGAGGGAGGCGGCCCACGGCAGGCGCATGGCGGCCAGTCAGCCCGTCGACCAGATGGGTGGGGGCCTGGGAGTAAGGTGGGAGGCCTGGACGTCCCGGGCAGTGGTGGCAGCAGCCTCCAGGCCCAGGGACTAGGACAGGACTCAGGCCGATGCGCCCCCGGGGGCCGGAGCCGCCAGGCCTGGCCTGGCCTCGCCTCCAGGGCTCCAGCGCCAGGCTCAGGAAGTGGGAGTGGAGCTAGCCGGCCACGGGGGGGCGGGGACAGGGAGCGCTGGGAGCTGAGGTCGGCTGGCTGGCTGTCGCAATCGGGAAGAGGAACAGGCTTGGCTGCCCTTATGCTGGGCGGGAGGGGGTGGCCGGGAAAGCACGTGAAGGCAACAGGGCCGGAACCGGGCCTCCTCCCTTCTCCGGAAGCCTGACTATGAGAGGAGGGCTGCGGGGACAGGCCCGCTGGTGGGAAAGGGGCTGCAGGGCCCGTGGACAATCCTCAGATGGGCCTCGAGCGCCCAGCTGGGGCAGAGCTCAGACTGAAACAGATGGAGTTCAAGACAGAGCTGTGTTGAGCCCGTGTCAGATCTGAATGGGCCTGGGACTGCCAAACATGGGGAGTGCAGAGACCCAGGGAAAGCCAGCCAGATGCAGCATCTGGGCACCAGAAGTCCTGGGTAGTAGACTGTTTCAATCCCTGGGTTCCTGCCCTGTTGTGTGACGTTTTAAGATAAACTACAAAGAAATAATGAGTCAGCCCTCCCCTCCCCTGACCCACCCAGTCCACACATTGATGGACCCACAGTCACCTACAAGACACTTGAGAGAGTGCAGTCCCTGCTTCTCAGTCCTTCGAGAAGGGGGAGGGCTTGTAGGCCAAGGTCCCAATGAGTAGGGGAAGCTGCAGCTGCGCTGGAGTTGGGCAGCTGCAGTCTTAGGTCCCAGCTTCACCCAGGAGCCTCTGAAACCCTTTGAACTGGGGGGAGCTGAGTGCCCACCTAGTCCAGCCCCCTCACCTTAAGGATGAAAAGAATGAGACTCAGGCAGAGGAGAAGAAGATTCCAGGAGGGCTTAGTCCCATGCCTGCCTCCTTTCTTCCCACCATTTCCCTGCAACTCATTAACAGTGCCCCCAGAGTGACTTGCATTTGCCCACCGCCCTCCCCCCTTACGCCAGGCTCTCTGGTCTCCAAGTTTCTGTGCTCCTGGCTAAGTCTCACGGGCTTTTGAGGATCACTGGGGCTCTGGGAAGCACACCCACTCCAGGTTGTACAGCCCCATGCAGACTGCTTGCTCTCTGTGACCTGCTGTTTACTGTCTGCCGGCCCACCAGGCCATGAGCTCTGCAATGGCCTGGACTGAGTCTTTAAGTCTGGCTTCTCAGTGTTTAGCACAGAGTCTGGCACATACCACATGTCCAGTACATATTTATGGAATTAAAGAATGATGCCTTGCTCATGTCACATAGCCAGTCCATGGCACAACCAGCCTAGAGTTCAGGGCTACTGATTTCTGGGTCCTAGTTCATTTGAGCAACCACGCTGCCTGCCTCCTGTGACTCAGGGATGCCTCCCTTGATGTGAGGGGCTGACTTAGTCTCTTGAGATAGGTCACCTGGGCACTGTCCCCGCCTCCTACCCTGGAGGGCCTAGTTTGGGGCTCATCCTCACCCTGGTTTGTCTGACTGGCTGGACAGGCTCTATGTGGAGGAGCTGGGAGGTCCTGGTGAAAGGGCCTGACTGAGCTTTAGATATTTCCCTCTCCTCTCCTGGTGCAGACCTAGGACCTGCACTCTGCTGCACTTACTTGATGGTCCAAGGCTTCCTGGAAAGGGAAGAAATATCAGAATAACATGCAGTGCTCAGGGCTGTGACTCTTTCCAGATCAAGGGAATTGGGGGCTGGGACTGGACTTAGCACTGAGCTCTTAATGAGTCAAGGTATGGATAGTGGCTTTAGATCCTTTTTTCTCTTTTTTCATTTTATTTTTTACTGTGGAAATTACACACATAACATATACATAACAAAAGGAGAGAAAATAGCATTGTGAATTCCCAGCTTCAACTCAGGGTGTCTTACTTCTTTCGTACAATCCTCCCCCACCTTCTAATCTCCCCTTAATTATTTTGAAGTAAATCCTAGACATAGCATCATTTCGTTTGAAAACATTTCAGGATTTACTCTAAGGGACAGCAACTCTTCTTCTTCTTCTTCTTTTTTTTTAGCTGAGCCATCCTGCCACCTGTTGGCAGCTCAGCGGCAGCTCAGCTCGGGCCGGGACTTGAACCACTGTTGCTCAGAGTTCAAACTCTTGAGCGAGTTCTTAACCAACTCAGCCACTCAGCCGGCCCCACAACTCTTCTTCTTTTAATTGAGGTGTAACACAGCAATAGTGTGCATAAAGTACACTACACAAATCAATGATTTTCACTTTTCTATATCCCATGTATCTCCCAGAGCACTTCCTGAACCCCAATATGTTCCTGCATGCTCTTTCCAGCCAAAGCTCTCTGTTTCACTGTAAGCACTCTCTCAGGTCCTTTTTAACCCCAGCTGGCTGAACTATTTCTTTCTGCTGCCAATCTCATGCTGTCACTGCAGCCTTCAAGGACTCTCTGGGTCCTACGGAAAGAGCCCTAAGGTCTAGACTTTTATCCTGGCCCCATCACTTCACTTCTCTCCGCTTTTTATGTGCCAGTCAACAGCTGGTTTCCTTGCAGATCTATTCTTCACTCTGATCTACATCGCTATCGCTACTGGGAACTACATTTCCCAGACTCCTCTTCCCCTATCGCTGCTGGGTAGTTTCAGCCAATAGGAAGACAGGTGGGTAGAGGACTGGTGGGTGGGAAGAGGGAAGAAACCAGGCAATTTCTATTTCTCCAACCCCATACTCCCTTTGTTTTCAGTTAGTTGTGTTTGTTCTTTCCCTACTTCCATAATTCCATCTCCTACTAGACAGTCCCCACTACTTAGTCCTTGCCACCTAGCTCTGGAGGCTTCTGGGTCTATAATGCTACATTACCTTGCTATCTTTCCAGCCCTAGAGTTGGTAACTGCTTCCTGGTCTGCTAGTTTCTGGGTTGCCTCACTGTCTCCTGTTGGCTTCTCAGCTCTTCCATCACCCATGTACCAATTCTCTGTGTTAAATTTCTTCTGTTTGGAAGACTGAGAGTGTTTCCTGTTTCCTGGCTGGCCCATGATTGACAAATATTATCAATAAATGGTTATTATGCCTATCCAACCTCCAGGAGGATGAAAGGAGACTCACAGGGGTGAGGAATCCATGAATGCTTTGTGACCAGGGCATTGTTTCCGCTGCTTTCCTTTTGTGTTCTTCGCCAGCTTCCTTAAAGTGTTCCTCATTTCCATTGAGCAATACCAGGCCCAGACTTAGCGCCCATAGACCCCCAAGTCTCCTTTGGAGGGGATTGCTCACTGAACCTTCTTCCCACAGGCTCAAGAAGAATCCCAAAAGGGGGTTGGTGGGAATGAATTCTTCTAAATACTTGTTTTCCCTCTCCTCTTCCCCACACTACTCTTAGCCAACTGGGTACCCCTGGAAAGTGTCAAGTAAACACTGAGAAATGTGTAACTGATGAGGGATGGCCTTCTCCAGAGTGTTTCCATTATCACTGGGGACAATCTCTTAGCCCAGTTGCCTCAAATAGGGAGATTTTCCCCCCCAGAAGACATTTGGCAATATCTGGAGGGACTCTTGATTGTCACAGTTAAGGGGGGTATTATAAGCATCTAGTAGGTAGAGGCCAAGGATGCTACTAAACATCCTATAGATCACAGGACAACTCCCCACAACAAAGAATTGTCCACATGTCTGTAGTGCCAAGGTTGAGAATTCCTGCCTTCATCCAAAGGAATAAACTAATGGTGAACTTCTAAGTGACCTGCCAGGTGGCTAGACTAGGAAGGGCTGGGAGGGATTTTCTGGACATCATTTTAGATTAAAGAGAAATTCATACTATGTAAATGCTGATAAAAGGACCACTGCTTTCCACAGTGGGCAGCTCAGTGTGCAGAGGCTAATTATCTCTAAGTAGTAAAAATAAAGAGTTGCATTTAATTGAGTGACTCATTTTTACTCTAGAAAGGATAGAGGCTGAAATGAAAAAAGTGAGTAAAATTGAGATCAGTGAATAGACCACAAATTAATGTGGTAGCAGGGGAAATTAGGATGTGTGATGTGTTGGGGATGCTTTCTCATAGCACATCACTCTCCATCAAAGATGAACCATGGGTCTTACCCCCGATGCTAATTCTGCTATCTTTTGCAGAGTGGGTCAGCAAATAGTGACAGCTACACAGTGGGGCCACCAAGATGAATAAGCCTGGTGCCTGTCCTCAGAGAACTCATAATATGACCCATGCATACAGAAACATAAATACACACACACACACACACACACACACACACACACATCAGGATAATAATAGTATACAAATGTAAGTGCTGTAATAGTGTTCTAAACAATGTTCTCTCTGGAAGCATGGTGGAGAAAGTGATTGCTTCCATATCCCCTCATTCCCAGAGAGCAAGAGGCAGGAAGACCCTTCAAACTCATAACCCTCATCCCACTGAAGACCCTCTAGCTTCACTTCTCTCCCTATAGCCTTTGCCCGTTTTATGCCACACCACAGGGTTAGAGGATGGCTGGTGTTGGGAGGAGGAAAGCAGCCTTGTGGAGACGGAAGGGCTGGGGCTCTGAGAGAGGCTGGGGAAGCTTCCAAGACAAGGTCTGCAAGGCCCCAGATGCTCCACAGAACAAGGGTCCACTTCTCTGGAAGTTAGGGGGCGTGGCGCTGAGCCTGGAAAAGGGAGGCCCGGCTCTCAATCTGTCCCCACCTCTAACTCCTGGGTGACTGTTGGGCAAGTCACTTTGCTTCTCCAGGCCTCACTTCCCTCATGTGTTAAGCAAGGGGCTAGATGCTACCATCTGGCCTGCCTTATTCACCCCCTCCTGCCATTTTGTTTTTCAGGTGAGAGCACTAGGATCCAGAGAGGTAAAATGCCATTTTCAAAGCCACATGCATAGTTTAAAGGTAAAAATGGAACTCATAGAATAATACCTATAACGCCGTATTTATGAAAAAAAACTATTGTATTTCCCCATGTATAAGACACTCCCATGTATAAGACGCACCTTAATTTTGGGGCCCGAAATTCGAAAAAAATGTATTACATGAAGTTATTGAACTCAAGTTTTATTCATCATAAAATTCATACAACTCCTCATCACTTGCGGGAAATGCAAGTAAAGAAATCTACAACCACTGTATAAGACGCACCCAGTTTTTAGACCCCAAATTTTTCGAAAAGGGGTGCATGTTATACATGGGGAAATACGGTATTTTGTTTTTTAAAAACTACATGTAAGTCTATACAGACACACAAAAAGATGGATACACAAACGACAGTGGCTCTCCTTGGGCCGAGGTGTGGGAAAAGAATTGGATAAAGAAAGGCTTTTATTGATTTGTATACTTCTGTACTATTGGAAAATTGTACTGCAACAAAAATGTATTTGGGTATTATTTCTGCACTTTAAAGGACAACATTTAAAATGGAGCTATGACAAAAGTGCAGGTTTCAGGTTTCTGTTTTTCTTACAACAGCAAGCTTCCTCTGGCCCATTCCAGATCTAGACTGCTTTGGTCTCAAAGCACATGTTGCTCCCGTGTATCCTGGCAGGCAGTGACAGGGTCACCACACTCCTGGCTCAGCCCAGTCCAAGCCTTGCAGTCCTTCCCCCAGAGCCCTTGAGATGAAAACTATCTGCCTGTGCTGCCTTAAGCCAGGTAGCAGGGAGGTGCCCTTTAGAACCTTTGAGATCAAACAGTCACAGCACCGCGTACCCCATTTGCAGGTAGGATCATCCCTAGTTTAAGGACCTGGCTCAAGGGAGAATGGAGCTTCTAGGGGTGTCTGAGTCCCGTGGGAAGGTGGGGACAGTGTAGAGAGCTTTTCACAGAGCCAGGAAGACAGTCCAGGACCCAGATTGCTGATGAATCCACGGACTCTGTATGAGTGTATGAACCTTCCTGGCTTTCAAAACCAGGTACGGGGAGCTCGGATTGCCGGAGTCTGTGGCTCGTCTGTCTTGGGAAGTAAATGGCAAAAGCCCTAAGTAGACAATCCCAGAGGAGAAGAATTCTTATTTTGTTTTCACTTGGCTGCTATTTTGTTTTGTGTCCTTATAAAAACTGGCTTATCTTTGTGGAGGGTCAGTTTCTTCATCTGGAAAATGAAGAAAAAGCCAGCCTTTCTCTTCTAAGGGGGCGGCCCCAGCAGGTGTCAAAGGAAATTCTGGGGCTGGGTTTGGAATCCTGGTTGATAGCAGCTCTCACTTTAACAGGCCACAAGAAACTGCCCAGAAAGGAACCCTGAGCCTGGAGTACTCCGCTTCCCTCTTCTTTGCCTGCTAAAGTCCTTGTTGTTCCTCAAGACCCAGCTAAGATACCACCTTCTCCAGGAAGTCTTCCTGAGTCTCTGGGTTAGTGCCTCTCCCTCCCTCCCCAGGCTCACTCAGCCCTGAGTTCTTATCTCTGCCATGAGAAACCTTATCTTACTCTATTGCTGCTGGTCTTCCACCAGTCTACAGCAGAGCCTAGACTGGGCTGTGTCTGCACATTGTGGGGACATAATGCCTGCTCCTCGGAGGAGGCAGGAGGAGGGAGAAGCCAGTGAGTGTCCTGCTGAGTGTCCACAATTGGCCCACCTTTCGCTGTTGCAGGGGCCTGGGCTGTGTGGATGGGTGTTCTGTACCTGTCTGAACCGTCTTTTGGGGCCTGATTCTCTGACCTTTCCCTCTCTGCTTGCTCACCACTTGGCACTTCACTCTTTATCCTTTTGCTGGATTAAGTTTGGGGAAGAGACCTTGCGGGAGGGGGGGGGAGCCCCTACCAATGAGCTTTTCCTTCCTTCCAGGGCTGGTGTAGACTTGGAACAAGCCTACCCTCTTCCTCCAGGACACCCAATGCTGTCCACATCCCTCTCTGCCTCCTCAGTGCCTGCGGTCCCTGGGCTCCATCCAGGTCTGTGCCCAAGTGCCCTGCCTATCCCCTGCCTGCCTCTTGGTGCCCACATTCCTGCAACCCCGTGACCACAATAGGGGACATTACACATTCCTGGCCTGGCAGCCAATGGTGTAAAAAAGAACAGAATGTCCCAGCGCCCCGCCCAGCCCCCAGCTTCACCTGGGCCCCTCCCTGGTCTGGACAAGGTAGGTAGAGGGTGGTGGTGAGGAGTCGGGGGAAGAGGATGGACTAGGAGAGAGAGAAAGGGGGGTGCTTCATGCTGAGTGCCAGGAGATGCACCCGCTAAAGTCCTCTCCACGGCCTGGGGGGTGAGGCTGACCCAGGGAGGGGACCTAGCCCCTGGAAGCCCACTTGGGGCTCCCTCCCCTTGCTCTCCTGCTGGGGAGGGGAGGGTCCCTTTGAGGCTGGGCTCACTCCTCTTCACTTTCCTCTTCCGGCCTCTCCTCCATCCCTCCCTCCCAGTCCTTCATCCTGTCCTCCTCCATCTATCTCGCTTCTTATGCTTCGCCTGTCCTCCTGGTCCCCCCGCCTTAGTCTCACTTGTCCTGGCTTGTCCTTTGTTCTTGCTTTGCCTTCCTGGCTTTGTGTTCAGGATCTTCCTCCCTGGTCAAGATCTCTCACCGGCCATTCTGTCTCCCAGTCTCCGTGCCCGTCAGCTTCCCATTACCCCCTGCGCCCTGACTCTTCCTCGGGCCCTTCCCTCACCTTCTGTAGTCCCAGCACTCCATGGTAACCTGCCCTCAGGAATCCTCTCCCTTCGGAGAACTCAGCTCAGACTCCTCCCCTTGCCCTGCTCACCTTTAATTGAGATGCTAATGAGGCTTCTGTTGCTTCCCTCCCCGGCCGGCAGGCGGGCTCCCTGGCCTGCCTCTGCAGCTGTCAGGTGAGGGGGAGGAGAGGCTCTGCTGCCAGATTCAACTGGAAAGGAACCAGTCCCAGTCCAGCCACAACCTGGGAGAGGGGAGCAGGCGGCAGCTAGTCCTCCTGGAGTCCTGCCGTGCCTGGGACAGAGAGGGAGTCCGGACGCAGCCCAGGACCAGGGCCTGATCGGAGGAGAGAGCCCAAACTGAGAAGGGACAGGCAGGCAGGGAGGAAGGGGAAGAGAGCCTGGCACACAGAGGAGCCAGGTGAGGAAGCAGAGATTCAAGAAAGAGACCCAAGAGAAGCAGAAGGCTGAGAGAGGGAGAGAGAGAGAGAGAGAGAGAGAGGAGCTAAGGCAGACAGAAGCTAAGAACAGAGATCCCAAGAAAGAGACTGGCTAAGCAGAGCAGACTGATGGCTGTGGAGACAAAAAGGGAGGTGCTGGGACTGAAACCAAAAGGTGACCTTATCAGGGAGGCAGAGGAGAGGCCACTCCAGGGGAGCCCAGATCCAGCTCCTCTGGCCCTGACTCCAGCAGGTCAGCTGGCTCCTGGGCAGGTGGCAGGAGGGAGAAGTGGGAGAAAATGTGCTCAGGCTGGGATGGGGCATGGCCAGGTGCAGCTTCTCTCTGGGGTCAAGCTGACGATGAGGGAGGGCACCTGGAGCCCAGAACTATGCCCTGACCCTCACCCTCACCCTCCACAATCCACCCAAGGGCTCATGAAGGGAGACAAGTGTGAGGAGCAGGGGCCGGACCCCAAACCTTCGGCCCCCCAGCAGCCCACGGAGGAGGAGGAGGCCCTGATTGAGTTCCACCGCTCCTACCGAGACCTCTTCCAGTTCTTCTGCAACAATACGACCATCCACGGCGCCATCCGCCTGGTGTGCTCCCAGCACAACCGCATGAAGACGGCCTTCTGGGCCGTGCTCTGGCTCTGCACCTTCGGCATGATGTACTGGCAGTTTGGCCTGCTGTTTGAAGAGTACTTCAGCTACCCCGTCAGCCTTAACATCAACCTAAACTCTGACAAGCTTGTTTTCCCCGCCGTTACCGTCTGCACCCTCAATCCCTACAGGTCAGTCGGGCCCGATGTCACTTCTTGTGCACCTGGAAGGGTAATGCAGAGGGTACAGAGGTGCCCCCTGGGCAAGCAGACCCTCAGACCCGGGGGTAGGAGGCGATACTCCTGTCCTCAGATAGGGCAGGATAGGGAGCCCCCGACTTGATGGGCTGGCAGCTCAGCCCAGTGGAGCCTTCCTAGTGCCCATGGCTTATCCCGAGTGTGGTTGTTGGGCCAGCTGTTCTCTCTTCCTCCCTTACTCTGACAAAGTGGGAGGGGATGCTGATGAGGTCAAAATGCTGGTAACTCCCAAAAGGGCAGGGTAGGGATTATCCCTAACCCTTCCCTGGAGTAAGAAGAGAGCAAAGAACAGAGAAGGACTCATCGAGGGTGCTGTGCTGGTGGGCGGTGGGAACTGGCAGGGGCTGGGCCCTGCTATGTCAGTCTGGGTTTAGAAGGGAAGTTTGTTTTGGAGAAAGCAAAGTGGGGGGTGGTGACAAAGCCATCATGAGCCTTGAGGCTGTGGGTGGGGAGTTACAGAGCCAGAAGGAGAATGGGACAGGATAGCCGTTCCCCTGTTCCCCTTGTCCAGGTGAAAATGGGGAGGTGGTCCCTGCTGGGCTGCACAGTTCACCTGCCCAGGAGCCTGACTTTTAAGAGCTCGGGTGTGTCCTGAAGTTTTGGGTTTCATCAGTGCTCCTTGCCAATTTTCCGTCCGGAAGCCAGAGGGGGTGGTAAACCATGGAAAAGAAAGGAAGGTGGGGCTGGATGTTTGTCTATACCTTAGATTTGTATTCGCTCAGTCATGCAACACCTTGGGAACACCTGCCACCAGCCAGACTCAGCGCTGGGCACCCGGCAAAGGGTTCATTAATGATTCGTACAACCTTTATTGAAGGTTGCCAGGTATTGGGTACAGAAAGAAAAAAGAAGATGGAAGAGCTAGGCATATACACAAATGACTGCACCACACTGTGAGACGTATAATAAAATTTGTGTGAGGTGTAGTCTCTGCCTTCAAGGAGAGTAAGATTTATGAGTGTGTGTGGGTGAGCAAACATTGGTTATGCGTGTGATTATGGAGGACTGGGATTGGTTACGTATTGGGGGTGGAGGTCCCCCATATATTCTGTTATGTCCACAGGTGTGTCGTGGACCAATAAGGGTTGTGACACCCTGTCCTGCCGAGAAAAAAACTGCCAGGCCATTTCATTGATTAGCTTTCATATAGTGTCCAGGGTAAGGGGCCATTTACTAAGAAGATGCACCGGACACTAAGTGCTCTACAGGCCTCTCCTTTATTTTTCCCAACAATCCTCCAAGGCAGGTACTATTAATATCCCATTTTATACTTGAGGAAACAAAGGCAAAAATAGACAAGTCACAAGGTCACAGAGATAGTGACTGACCTGTGACTTATTCTCTGTTTGCTTGATCACAAACCCCTGCCTCTTCTTAATACCCAAGATGTGGGACATGGACTAAATGAAGTTTCCTATGAGATATTTACATCTCGTTCCTGGTTCTCTTTCATTCCTCTCCTCAGTCTCCCCTGGTGGCCACTGCCTTTGCGCCTCTTCTTCCTGAACCCCTGCTGCTCCCCTGCCCTAATCTTTCCCCCATTTTCCCCACCCCTCATGTCCTCTGGCCTTCATAGAGGGAAGGAACACTGGGCAGGCTTGAGCCAGCAGGGAGGGAAGGGCTGGAAGGCTGGAGGTACAACAGGTAGAGTAGTAGGTGCTCAATAAATACTGTGGTTGAAAGATGCGGGTGAGATTGCTTGGCCAGGGAAGGGAATGGGTTCTTGTCATCTGCCACGGCATGGATGGACCTGGGGGATATTGTGCTGAGTGAAGTAGGTCAGACAGAGAAAGACAGATGCAATGTGATTTCGCTTATATGTGGAATCTAAAGAACAAAATAAACAAAACAGAAACAAACTCAGATACAGAGAACATTTTGATGGTTGCCAGACGGGAAGTGGGTTGGGAGTGCGTGTAAAAGGGGAAAGGGATTAAGAAGTACGAATTCATTGTTACAGTGAAGTCATAGGAATGTAGGGTATAGTATAAGGAATAAAGTCAGTAATATTGTAATAACAATGTATGGTGTCAGATGGGTACTAGATTTATCGGGGTGATAGATGGAAGGAGGCTGGGGAATAGGGTGAAAAAGGTGAAGGGATTAAGAAGTACAAATTGGTAGTTACAAAATAGTCATGGGGATGTAAAGCACAGCATGGAGAATATAGTAAATAACATCATAATAATTATGCATAGTGCCAGGTGGGTACTAGACTAGTCAGGGTGATTGCTTCTTAAATTATATAAAGGTCTAACCACTATGCTCTACATCTGAAACTAATATAAAACAATATTGAATATCAACCATAATTGAAAAATTAAAAAAAAGGGGGGGGGAGGTGAAGTGGAGTAAGAGGCCCAAACTTCCAGGTATAAAACCAATAAGTCATGGGGCTGTACTGTACAGCATGGGGAGTATAGTCAATAATATTGTGAGAGCGTGGTACAGTGTCAGAGGGTTGCTGGCTTTATCATGGTGGTCACTTCTTTAGGTATACAAATGTTGACTAACTAGTTGGTACACCTGAAACTGATGTAATATTGTATGATAGCTATATTTT